TCCCTCTAAGATACACTTTAGATTCAAAAATACAAATAGACTGAATATGAAAGGGTACTATGCAAAAATAAGGGCAGGAGTGGCTGTACAAATATGTAACAAAATAGACTTTAAGACAAAAATTGCTGCCAGAGACAAAGGACACTTTATAATTAAAAAAGGCCAATCCATCAGGAAAACAATTATAAACACAGATACACCTAACAACAGTGCCTCAACCCTAACATACATGAAGCAAAGACTGATAGAATTGAAGGAACAGCCAACTCAACAGTAGTAGCTGGAGACTTTCATACCCTACTTTCAATAACTGATAGAAAAATTAGGCAGAAGATCAGTAAGAGAATAGAAGACTTGGACAGTATCATGAACTAACTAGGTCTAACATACATCTACAGAACAGCGAATAACAGCAGAATACACGTTAATCTCATGTGCACATGGCACCTTCTCTAGGATAGATCATATATTAAGCCACAAAACAAACTTCAGTAAAAGGATTGAAATCATACAAAGTATGTTCTCAGATCACAAATGAATGCAATTATTTCCTAATTTGTAAAAAATGTTAACATCTACCCGAGCAGGGGATCAAAGAATTAATCTCAAGTACCCAGCATGGGGCATAATAAACTTTATTATGAGATATTTTATTGTAAGAACAAATTACATGTATGCATCCCTTTGCCTTATAACTGGAGTGTGGCAAATGATGGGTTAACTTCCTCCTTGTAAAGTGGGAAAAATATTTCACCATTTTGAATCTGTGGCAGATTATAAACTTGATAGTGTTATAGCTTTGAGAAAATATAGTATCACAACCCTGATGCATCTACCACTAATATTACTAAAAGCTGAATGTAGGACTACCTTAGAATAGAAACTGGCAAACATAAATTGTCCTCTGTTTATAAAACAAGATAAATGATTATGATCTACCTGATTTTTCCTTAGAAAAATGAGTGTTCATTAATATTCTTCATTTCACACCAGAGAGGCAAGATTAGGCCACATTTTTATGAGTTTATTCTTCTAGTCAAGGTATAAAGCTTAACCTTATACTGTCTTAAAACAGATCTTAGTTCAGATTATCTATGGCTGCTTTCATGCAACAATAGCTGGTTTGGGTAGCTGTGATAGAGTCTAAATGACTCATAAAATATTTACAATTGGGATCTAAACAGAAAAAGTTTGCAGAACCATAACCTAAGAACTAAATAAATAATCCTTGGGTGGCGCTGGCAGATGATATTCCAGTAAAGACACTGAGAAAAAAAATGTGGTTATCCTTTTATTTCCAAGTTTGCATAACTTTCTTCAACATGGCCAATCTTGTTTCATCTGTAAACGCATCCGCTCCCTCCTCTTTATTACTTTGAAGCAAATCCAAGACATACATTGGCAATATTTCATCTACAAATATTTGAGTCATTTGCATTGCATTTTAAGCATGTAATACTAATGATAGCATTTATCTTTTTTGCAAATATGAAAACAACCACACTGTTAATTTTCCTTCAAATTCTGTGCAATTGGTGGATTGGCCAAATGTTCTCAACTTGTATTTAAAATTTATAAGAATGAGCTGGGTGCGGTGGCTAATAACTGTAATCCCAGTACTTTGGGCGGCTCAGGTGGGAGCCCAGGAGTATGAGACCAGCCTGGTCAACATAGTGTATGACCGTGTCTTATGGGCATGGTGGCATGTACTTGTAGAAACAGTTACTTAGGAAGCTGAGGCAGGAGGATCTCTTAAGCTTAGGAATTTGAGATTGCAGTCAGCCATGTTTGCACCACTGCACCAGCCTGAGCAACAGATCAAGACTGTCTCAAAAAAAAAAAAATGAAAAAATGAGAAATTTAATTTTTTCACCTAAGACAATAATAAAGGAGACTTCACAGTTCTCCAGAAATTTCTCCCTACTTTTTTTTTCCACTGATCAGACTCAATAAGGAGGTAGTATCTAATTCAGGACTGTAAGACCACTATTTTCAGATTTTACAGTTATTTAGTTTAAATCAAAGATCTTATAGTGTTTAAAGGGCGTGAGGTGACTCAGCGTCGGACATTTTGCTGCTGTAGCTTCACATTTCTCTCACTTTCATGTCAACCATTCCTACACCCCCCACCCACAATTCTGAATGAGCTCACCTACTTTTTATAGTGACTACATTTGCAAATATCAAATTTTAAAAAAAGGATTAAAGAGAAAGCTCAGATTTTATGCCTCTTTCAGAGAAGGGCTGTCTGTTAGGTCTGCATTCAGACCTTCCAAAGCCCTGTCCGTGGCTTCACCTGCATCAACAAACTGATCCCACCTGGTCCCTGGAAGACAATCGAGGTGTACCCTGCCCCCACCTTGCTTTCAGTCATACTTGGAATGTCTCGCAGGCAGCCTAATTGGAATCAATAAAGCAAAAAAGTTAGCTGGCTGGAGGGTCTTGTCAGAAGTAAAAGACAAGAGACTGAAATGTAGGGATTTACTGAGTGAGCAGCCGTCTTTTCAGGGTTCTAATGATAGAGAACACAATTCAAAAGGCAGACTAATTGCTAGCAAATGTAATTCATTCTTTGGCATGTCATTTAAAGGAAACAACTGGGATGGCGCTAAGTGTGAAGTATTTTGTAGACAGGGATTTTTTTTTTTTTTTTGATACAGGCTCTCGCTCTCTTGCCCAGGTTGGAGTGCAGTGACGCGACCGTGGCTCATTGCAGCCTTGACCTCTTGGGTTCAAGTGATCCTTCCACCTCAGCCTCCTGAGTAGCTGGGACTATAGGTATGCAACACCACATTTGGCTAATTTTTATATTTTTTTAGGGATTGGTTTTCACCATGTTGCCCAGGCTGGTCTCAAACCCCTGGGCTCAAGCGATCTGCCTGCCTTGGCTTACAGAGTGTTGGGATTATAGGCATGAACCACCGTGTCCAGCTGAGATTTTTAAATGAGAATCTTTAAATATACACACACAGTTTAAACATGGTCTTATTTTCCCTAATGCTGTTAAGTTCTTTGGAATCAAAGAACCATTTGACTGTAGTAAGAATCACAAACAGTACAACATAGGATGATCTTATCATAAATGCGTGGTTAAATTAGCAACCTTTGTTTTCTCCTCTAGGCTTATCGCCTCCAAATGGTCATTTTCCTGGCTTAGAAGCAGCAGCAAAAGCATACGTGTGAATGCAGGGATTATCAGTTTGTCTCCCTATTAGTGCTGAAAACTGTTTCTCCCACTTCAGTCAACCTACCATGTTCCATGTGGAAGATTATTTACCATGTCAGAAGTGTATTTTCTCAATGCCATTGTCTCTTTTACAAATTTACATTTTTAACTATTTTACTCCCAAACCCCCAGAGCCAGGTTCTCTATACCTTACTTTAGTTATCTACTGCTGGGTAATAAATTATCCAAAATGTAGTAGCTTAAAAGGAAAACCATTTTATTTGTTCATGGATCTGTGGGCCAGCAAATTGGGCAGGGCTAAGTAGGGATGGTTCTTCTCTTCTCTATAATGCTTGTGGCCTCAAGCAGAAAGACCCAAATAGCTGAGAGCTGGCTAGGCCTCTCTCTTCTCATATTATCACCTGGAGGGACACATCTGAGGCTTGAGGATAGAAGGCTTCACTTCCAATGTCTGGGCACTGTGGTTCTCTCCCACGTGGCCTCTACTCACTCACTAATCTAGTCTAACATAGACAGCGTGACTGGCTTCCAAGAGTGAAAACAGGTGCTAGGAGACCTCCAGAGATCTCGGAATGTCACTTCTGCATTCTATTAAAGCAAGTCACAAGCCAGACTGGACTCAAGGGATGGGGAAACAAACTCCACCTCTTGATGGGAAAAGGAACACTTGCACAGAGACATAGGAAGCACTGTTGGCAGCCATTTTGGAATACCACTGCCACACCTTTCAAGAGCTAGTCATGACAGAATGTTAGAAGACTCCTTCATCTTCCATAGAGAAGAAATATCCCAATCTTCTGGTATCTAATCCAAGGATTGGTTCTTTCCATTATTTTCCACGACTGAGTGGGGGAGATGGAGGCAGCATAAGCATTAGGGTACAAGTGAAGGTGAACAGAGCTGAGGCTGTTTCACAGTAATAGCATTCTAATACGACTGTCTTCCATTCTGTTCTTCCCAAGCTTCCACGTTTAGCTTTCTTTTGTGAATCAAGACTGTGGATCATTTAAAATATTTTTTCTTTTTTTTTTCTTGAGACAGTGTCTCCCTCTGTCCCCTCGGCTGGAGTATAGTGGCACTGCAGCCCCAACCTGGGTGTGAGTCATCCTTTACTTCAGCCTCCTGAGTAGCTGGGACTATAGGCACAGCTATAGTCACCATCACACCCAGCTAATTTGTGTACAGATGGTGTCTTGCTATGTTGCCCATGGTTGTCTTGAACTCTTGGGCTCAAGCACACCTCCCCCTTTGGCCTCCCAAAGTACTGGGATTACAGGCATGAGTCACCATGCATGGTCATTTAAAATATTTTGTTGGTATTTTATAGATTACTTTTAACTTCCTGGATTGTAGAAAGAAGCAGAATTAGTATTCTTTGATGCCTTATCCCATGCGTTATGGTAACTTTTTCCTATAAGATGGTACATTTTACTAACCCTTTGTAGGTACACACTTAAAATATTTAAGTGATGAAGGGAGTCTTCTTGATTCTTACTGTCTTTAGCAAGATTAGGCTCTATCCCTTTCGCTTAAGAATACCTCTTGGGAGCAATTCTTTTCTCTGAATTCTCTGTGTTTACTAATGGTATCCATGGTTGTTCCTTTAGAGGCATAGTTGAAACATATTAGCCATTACTGTTATTCCTGCAAAGGCTTATAGTGTTGGCATCCGTTCCCTCTTGATTTTGAGTCTGTGTTCACAGTGGATAATCTCACACTGAGCCATGATACTCTTATATCAGACCATTACCTGATATCAAGAAACTTCACAGTGTATTCATAGAAAAGACAGAAAAAGGTTTTGGTAAATATGTCCTATTTACATATCTATAGTATTTTATTTTAAAATGTCATTGAGCATATACATTTTTTTTTAGCTTTTTCCAGGGGACATTGCACCTAAGTTTCAAAACACACAAAATAGATCCCCTTTACTAAACAGTTTTCATTTTGGGGTTACAAAAAAGTCCATGTTTCACAATCACAAAGCATAAAGGTACATTGTTCTGAAACCATTTCAAGGCAGATTTCTCTCATTCACTGAACATAGGGTTGTTTTGGAAACCCAGACCATGATACATTCCTTACAAATGATCTCCACCATGGGCCTCCTCCCTGGGTCTCCAGAAAAAAAAAATTGGGCGAGAAACAGGAGTAAAAGAGTAACCTCAGGACTCAGGAAACAAACACAAAATACTTGTGGGAGATCAGAAAAGTAGAGGACACAGGTTCTCCTTCAAGTACATCACAGTAGGAAACTACAGCACATTTACAGCCTTATTTGGTCACTGTCTACCTGGTTGCTACATAAACAAAACTTCACCTAAGACACAGGAAAAATTAAAGCTATTTACACAGATAACACTGTGGATTGGAAAGAGCAGTCCTCTGCAGACCGCCACTCCATCTGACAGAAGCCACAATACTAACAGAAGAAGCAAGTCAGGTTGCTCACATAGTGTCCTTTGAAAAATCCCAGTGTACAAACATGTGCCACATCACCCACACAGGACCGAAGTCTGCTCAGAGAGGTGGGCTATGTAGTGTGCAGGCCACAGCCTTTCTCTGCAATTGTAAGTCTTCCAAACAATCTGTGTTCCTAACATAAAATTCTGTCCTGTGGTCAGAGCGTGTTTTATCATTTTCTTAATTTGATAACTTTCAGGATCGGCCAGGTTGCTCTTTGCATAGACACTGACTCTCACTGCTTTCTGAAAGTGTCCCAGAAGCACTAACTTACTGAAACTAGAATCAAAGCTTAACATATTCACTCTGAAAAACAGCGGAGCTGCTGGGTCACTTAAGGAAAGCTGAGAACCTCAAACCGGTGGAAGGAAAACCAGTGACCACTTGTGGCCTTATAAAGTTGATTGGCAGGTGATATGAAGAGGACAGTCGGAATTTTAAAGACATAGGAGATGTGTCCCTAATGTTTTCATACTAGCGCTCTTGTTAAATAAAAAACCGTGCCTGAATGGGGAAGATCTGAGGCTAAATCTGGATCCTGGGACTCATATTCTTGCCCACCAACATCTCCCTGTGGCTGCCATTCTTCCCCGGAAGTAAACGAATACTGAGAACACAGTAAGAGGATGGTGGCCACAGCTGACTTCACAAAGCCCCATGGAAGTAAGTTGTTTAAGAATTTAAAAAGTAAGCACTCCAAATCCCCTAACACGGAATACTGTGGAAAATAACTGAAATTCCCACTGCTTAAGGCTTTGTCCTATTAGACAGCTGAGTTCTTGGCCTAGCCCGATTTTCTCCTTTCCCACCTCAAGAACAGCAGATAGCGGAACACACCCTCTGCCTCTCTGACTGCTGACACTGGCTACAGAAACAAGGCTTTGGTTATCATCTAGCAAAATGCTGCAGAGTACGGAGAGACTGAGTTTGTTCTAAAGAAAGGAGTTTCACCAAAGAGTCTGAAGAGGGCCAGCCCAACCAAGAGTTAGAGCTGACTTTCATTAAAGTAGCCACACGCCCCTCAAGACAACCATGAAGACTTCACTAGGAAATCAAAAGCTTTTTATTAAACAAGACTTCCTCTGAGGCTATTCGAGCAAGCAGATTCGACTGTAAGTCAGATACACAAGATTTCAGAACCATGTATAAATAATGTTCTGCAGCATTTCGAAGTGTGTGTCCTTTGACTTTCCCAGGAATGCACCAAGGGCCAACCTATTATGTAGACACAGGTACTGTTCTAGGATTGGGTGACAGGGGGCCTGGGTGAAATATCGGGCCAAAACTGAGTTAGCTCAATTCATAGAGCAAGATCAGTGCTGGGCAGAACTGCCATGCTTCATTTACATCATTTTCCCGCTTTGGGTTTCTTCACCTCATTTATAGTCTTCCTAACATAAACATGACTTTATCTTGTAACTAAGGTCTTTTCACCCAGAGTGGCTTATGAAACAATTCCTAGATACCTTTCTAACTAAAACCAGCAGGACTAAATGCTCAAGATTTTATAATACTTTAAATGAGAGGTTTCTAGAGTTTTTCCTGAGACGTGCCTTAGTAGTAAATGAATTGGCGGATTGAGTAGAAGGTCGTTGTGACATCTACACCCAAATTCTTACTCTGATGGCTTGATCAGACTGGAGAAGATCAAGGTAGGGCCCAGATAGAGGCCAAGGAAAGCAAATAAATAAAAGGCAGTTGGGACACAGGAAGGATCCCAAAGATGACAGCTCAGCGTCCTCCGCAGAAGACCTACTCAGATTTCCTACTTAAACATGACTCTGAGAGCCAGGACAGAACAGGGAGTGGAACACACTGCTGTTGCATGCCTGAAGGTTTTCCCACAGCATCAGACTCCACAAAGAAGCAAAGCATCTTCCACCAACTCTCCATAGAGATGTCTGGGGTAGCTAAGATCTAGTGGAGGAGGAGGAAATGCACTGTCGGATGAAGACAACTCCTGACAAGGCAGAAGTCCCATTCTTCCCAGGAAACACTTCCACAAACACCTGGAGGTGTGAATTCTCACAGCACTTCACCTGCCACACAGGGCACTATTTCCACACCGTGGAATGAATTCATTCCTGAGAAGGAGGGGCTCCAGCCCTTTTCAAATAAAATATCAACAACTCCAGAAATGCAGGTGATTTACTACCCTGGAGGAGAGACTTTGATCCTCTCCTCTGGAGAAGATATTCAAACAAATATGAGAACTGGAATTAGCTCTTGAGCATTTTGGGGAAATCATACCAGTGACATTTTTCTTTATTTGGTCAGAAGAGTGTTTCAATTACTCAAAGTTGTCAAAGTGGTGACAATACCTCAGTAGCTCAGCAGGAAGAAGACTAGGCAGTTTAGTGGCTCTACAAGTCTAAGAGTCAGAAGTGAGTTTTATAATCTACTTGGCTACTCCTCCCAGCAGAGATAAGGTGTGGACTGTGCCTGCTGCTGCTGCTCTTGTAACGAACACTCAGAGGTGCAACCACAGTGGGACCTGGAGGAGCTGGGACATGATTCTTTAGAGAACAGATAGGGAGCACAGCATGAGAATGGCCAGTCAACCCATTTCAAATTCTTCCATTAAAGTGCCCCACCGAGGGGCCTCGCACAAAGATGATGGGGAGAGCAGAACTGCTGCTCCCTGATAAATCTCTGATCCTCACACTTTGTTTGGAGTGGGCTTGGGGACAGTCACAAGCCATGAAACCTGAATTCAAAATGGTCCCCAGACGAGGTATGGTGAACCAGCAGATGCAAGGAACTTCCTAAACTGCTCTATGAAACACTGCTTTATATGTGTCGCTGCAACACAAAAAAGTGGGAACCTGTATCAGAAGTGAAAATCCAGACTCTCATAGAGAACCCTTGAGCCACATAGGGAGACCACTGAAGACAAGAGAGGAATTGCTGGTCCACAGAACACTCACAGTTTCATGAAAACACACCGATTTGGGGAGAAAATGTAACTTGGGAAGGAATATTACACAACAAAGACCCTCTGTCATGCAGGCCACTAGCCTGGATGCTGCCTGGACTGTGTGGGCTGGAGGATGTGGGGACAGCCCAACCTGGATGGGACTTTGACACAGAACTTCCTCAGCAGGGTGTCGGAAAGTCCCAGGTATGTTCTATGGAGGGGAAAAAAAAAACAAATTCAAGGAATGTCAAAAAAGGGGAAAAAAAAATCCCTGCCTCACTTCACCATTGCCACAAAAGCATAAAAACGGGAAACAGAGGGAGGGGCAGATGGCAATCCCTGAAATAAATCTCAGGCTTCCTAGACGGTGGGCACTTATGTTTTGAGGCATGACCCCCAACTTTCCAGTGCAGCACTTTTTAACCCTTAGAGAAGTTGGCGGCTTGACAGGCTGAAGAGTCCTCTGCCATTTACACCTGAAAATGGCTGCCTCAGCTACTCTAGATAAAATAAATATGACATATGTGCCCCAAATAGGCAATGGCAGCCTCGGAGGCCTGTGAAAGGAACTGAAATACAACACGTGGTAGCAGCCTTTGTGTTTTGCTCTTATTGAGTTGACCTGTTACTAAGAAGAAATGGAAACCAAAGGGTCATCTTGAAGCATGGCCTTTTGGCTGCAAACTCCCCACCTGGGCTGGCTGGGAAGAGACTGCATCACTTGGAAATCAGCTGGGCACTTCCCAGTTCCATCCTGCCAAGAGGCATCCCAGCTTTCTTCCCCTCTGTTCTCCCAATTCCCTGGGCCATTTTCATGACAGTTTGTTTCCATGTATTAAAGGAATGACATATACAGAAATGTCGTCTCCTGAGCCCAGTCGGTCATTAGATATCCGCCATCCTCTGTCCTTCAGCACACCCCGGGCACGCATCACCAGGTCCTGAGCTGCCAGTGTATACCTGTGCAGAAGAGGCAGGAACATGACAGTTAGTAGGGCATCAGGCAGAAGCCAGGGTCAAGCGAAGCTGGGAAGTGGAAGGCATCACTACAGTTGTATAAACAAGTTTCAAATACACTTACAGTAAGAAAGAGCCAAGGTCATCTTTCCCCAAAATGTAAGACACCTAATGTGAGATTATTGTTTAGATGGTAGTGGGATAAGGCACTAAATACTTTAAACAATATCTTACATTATTCCCCTGCTTAGTTCTCTTTTGATGTTTTCGATTACATTGAGGGGAGTCTCAGTTTGCTACTAGTGTGTCTCAAAGAGCTGCTCAGGCTGAGAGCTTTCCATGGCAAATAGTATCTAGCTAAAAAAGTACATGGGAAAAATAACTTTTGTTTTCAATATATTTATTTTTAGAGCTATTTTCCTTTTGTGACAAGAATAGTCATTTTCTATTTATGGTAGGAATAATCATTTAAAGTAAGTTTTTTAAAGAGTTAAGGAAAAATATTAAAAATAATACACATGGCATAAACATATAGCAGGAATGTGAAGTTTTTGTTTTTTGTAAATGACTGATAAGTCTTGGTGTTAGTGAGCTGCTTGTCACTGTCATCCTCTCCTCTTGACCAGTGTAAGTACAGCAGGGGATCACTCACGGATTTGAAAATAAGATTGCTCACTGAGATTTAAACTGTAAGTCTAAGGAGAAAAAAATGACACTATAAGGTGATGGAAAGTATTAACATCTAGGAGAGAGACTAACTTGGGAGGTGATCTGGGTGGGTATGGGCCTGTGTTAGCCCTGAGGCATAAAAAAATGAGACAAAACATTGACAGGTGTCTATCCAAATACTGACCAGAGCAGAGGGAGTCATTGCTGACAGCCTTCAAAGGAACCTAGTTCCACCGGCAGGGCCATATTTGCTGTGGGATGGACTACTCTCTTAGCCTATACCCTTAAGCATTATGATTCAGCTTTATTCTGATTGCATGTTCACCAGAGAACCTCCCGATTATGATCTGCCTCCCTGTGTAGGCCTGCCTACAGGAAAGAATGAACTAGTCATTTGTACTTTAAGAATATCCATCAGTTATATTTCTCTGTGTAAATGCCAAGTGGCATTTTGGTTTACAGATCAATCTTGTGAGCTCGGTTAAGGTGAGACCAACTTCGATAATGAATCTCTTTTTCTGTATCTTGATTGAATCTGTTTTTGAACCTGAAAAGCTAAGAGCCAGACTGGTAAATCATGAAGATAATAAATGTCACCTTATAAGGCTTCTTGGAAGCCAGCCTGTGGGCCTTTTACAAGGAACCACCCTGATATTGCTAGTGGCCTTTCCCTACTTGGAATGTCTCAGTCTGGTGACCTTTCCCTACTTGGAATGTCTCAGTCTTGCCTTCAGAACTGTGAGTTATGGAATTCAGAACCCTAGAAGCCTCTCCAATTCTTTTGCTAAAGTTCACAGGCTTTCATGTTGAGACCTGCATCATCGTTACATTATTTAAGAACAAGTGCTTTAGCAAATGATCCCAGGATTGTGAAGATTCCAAGTTGTACAGTCTTTGAGGATCAAGTCTTTTTTTGGGGGGAGGGGGGAATGAAGTCTCACTGTCACCAGGCTGGAGTGCAGTGGTGCGATCTTGGTTCCCTGCAACCTCCATCTCCTGGGTTCAAGAGATTCTCCTGCCTCAGCCTCCCGAGTAGTTGGGACTACAGGTATGCACTACCATGCCTGGCTAATTTTTATATTTTTAGTAGAGACGAGGTTCCACCATGTCTCTAGACTGTCTGTTATTTTCCCTCAGCAGTTTGGAGACATTATTCTGCTTACTTCTGACTTTTACTCTTTTTGAGGAGAAGTCTGTCTTTTATCATTCCTTTATAGGTAAATGACTTTTGCAATTGATAACTTTTCAAGTTTTTTTTTTTTTTTTTTTGGTTGCTAATATGAAGTACTACTGAGACATAACAAAAAGGACCTTTTTATTTATCTTGCTAAGAAATTAGATTTACTCCTTCAAACTGAAAACTTCTCAGCCATCAATTTTTTGAATATTGCCTCTCCTCTATTTTGTAGATATTCTCCATAAACTCTAATTAGATTTTCTGATTTTGCCTTGCAGATTTCAACTTCTCTGTGATAGCTTTCAATCCATTAACTCCCTCTTTAGCAGTTTACTATTCATTTAGTGAATTTCTTTCTTTTTTATTATACTTGAAGGTCTGGGGTACATGTGTAGAATGTGCAGGTTTGTGACATAGGTATACACATGCCATGGTGGTTGGCTGAATCCATCACCTGGTCATCTACATTAGGTATTATTTCTCCTAATGCTATCCCTACCCCTACCCACCACTTATCGGCAGGCCCCAGTGTGTGATGTTCCCCTCCCTGTGTCTATGTGTACTCATTGTTCAACTCCCACTTATGAGTAATAACATGCCTTGTTTGGTTTTCTGTTCCTGTGTTAGTTTGCTGAGAATGATGGTTTCCAGCTTCATCCATGTCCCTGCCAAGGGCATGAACTCATCCTTTTTCATGGCTGCATAGTATTCCATGGTATATATGTGCCACATTTTCTTTATCCAGTCTATCATTATGGGCATTTGGGTTGGTTCCAAGTCTTTGCTATTGTAAACTGTGCCAACAATATACAGCAATAAACATACATGTGCATGTGTTTTTGTTTTTGTTTTTGAGACAGAGCCTTGCTCTATAGCCCAGGCTGGAGTGCAGTGGCGTGATCTGGGTTCACTGCAGCCTCCCACTTTTGGGTTCCAGTTCAAGTGATTCTCCTGCCTCAGTCTCCAGAGTAGCTAGGATTACAGGCATGCACTACCATGCCCAGCTAATTTTTTTTAGTAGAGACGGGGTTTCACCATGTTGGCCATGTTGGTCTTGAACTTCTGACCTTGTGATCTGCCCACCTTGGCCTCCGAAAGTGCTGGGATTACAGGTGTGAGCCACCGTGCCCAGCTGATTGTATCTTTATAGAATGATTTATAATCCTTTGGGTATATACCCAATAATGGGATTGCTGGGTCAAGTGGTATTTCTAGATCCTTGAGGAATCACCACATTGTCTTCCACAATGGTTGAACTAATTTACACTCCCACCAACAGTGTAAAAGTGATCCTATTTCTCCACATCCTCTCCACCATCTGTTGTTTCCTGACTTTTTAATAATCGCCATTCTAACTGGTATGAGACGGTATCTCATTACGGTTTTGATTTGCATTTGTCTAATGACCAGTGATGATGACTTTTTTTTCCCATATGTTTGTTGGCTGCATAAATGTCTCCTTTTGAGAAGCGTCTGTTCATGTCCTTTGCCCAGTTCCTGATGGGTTTTTTTCCTGTAAATCTGTTTAAGTTCTTTGTGGATGCTCAATATTAGCCCTTTGTCTGTCAGATGGATAGATTGCAAAAATTTTCTCCCATTCTGTAGGTTGCCTGCTCTTCACTCTGATAGTTTCTTTTGCTGTGCAGAAATTCTTAAGTTTAATTAGATCCCATTTGTCTATTTTGGCTTTTGTTGCCATTGCTTTTGGTGTTTTAGTCAGGAAGTCTTTGACCAAGCCTATGTCCTGAAGGTATTACCTAGGTTTTACCTACATTTAAATCTTCAGCCTATCTTGAGTTAATTTTTGTATAGGGAAGGGATCTAGTTTCAGGTTCTGCATATGGCTAGACAGTTTTCCCAACACTATTAAATAGGGAATCCTTTCTCCATTGCTTGTTTTTGTCAGGTTTTTCAAAGATCAGCTAGTTGTAGATGTGTGGCATTATTTCTGAGGACTCTGTTCTGTTCTATTGGTCTATATGTCTGTTTTGGTACCAGTACCATGCTATTTTGATTTCTGTAGCCTTTAGTGTAGTATAGTTTGAAGTCAGGTACCATGATGCCTCCAGCTTTGTTTTTGCTTAGAATTGTCTTAGCTCTGCAGGCTTTTTTTTTTTTTGGTTCCATATAAAATTTAAGGTGATTTTTTTCCAATTCTGTGAAGAAAGTCAACGGTAGCTTGATGGAGTTAGCATTCAATCTATTGATTACTTTGGGCAGTATGTTCATTTTCATGATATTGATTCTTCCTAACCATGAGCATGGAAGGTTTTTCCATTTGTTTGTGTCCTCTCTTATTTCTTTGAGCACTGGTTTGTAGTTCTTGAAGAGTTCATTTACATCCCTTGTTAGTTGTTGTAAGGCCGGCTGCCTCGCCAGGAGGTTGGACATACCCACCTCTGCACCTGGCACCAGGCTCTGCACTTGGTACCTAACTCTGCCGCATGGCTCCCCAGAAGGCTCCAGCTGATGCAAGGCTCCTGGCCGGCTCTCCCACTGGAAAACCCACCCAACAACCCGCCAACCAATAGCGGCCTGCCCCGTCTTAATCTCGCTCCCCTGGAGTTAATCAGAGCACCCAGCTGTTGCTCATTCCTTCTAGCCATAAAAACCCCACGCCCCAGGAATTTGGCGCGACTTCCCTGGCCCCTTTCCGCAGGACCATGGAACCTCGCCTGGGAGCTGAATAAATTGGATTTTCATTTTCTGATACTGGCCTCAGTTTCCTCATTTTAAACTCGGCAATAAACCTTACAGTTGTATTCCTAGGTATTTAATTATCTTTGTAGCAATTGTGAATGGGAATTCAGTCATTATTTGGTTCTCTGTTATTGATGTATAGGAATGCCTATGATTTTTGCACATTGATTTTGTATCCTGAGACTTTGCTGAAGTTGAGTATCAGCCTGAGGAGATTTGGGCCTGAGACAATGGGGTCTTCTAAAGATACAATCATGTTGTCTGCAAATAGAGACAATTTGACTTCCTCTTTTCCTAATTGAATAGCCTTTATTTCTTTTTCTTGCCTGATTGTCCTGGCCAGAACTTCCAATACTATGTTGAACAGGAATGGTAAGAGAGGGCATCCTTGTCTTGTGCCGGTTTTCAAAGGGAATGCTTCCAGTTTTTGCCCATTCAGTATGATATTGGCTGTGGG